CGTGTGATATATATATATATGTGTGTGTGTGTGTGTGTATGTCGTAACTAAGATCGCGACGGGACGACAAAAAATAAATTAAAAATAGGGAGTCGTCACCAATGTTATTTTTTACGGAAAAATATTGGAAAAATCATAAAGTAGATAATAATCTACTAAAACCAGATTTTTGAGTTCGGGAGTCGATTACGTGTGAGGAAAGTATTAACACCTCATAACGTTCGTCCTAAGACGATTACCTTGAATTAATTAAACAAATTATTTATAATTTCTAAAATATTTATCTCACTAAAATGATCAAATATATTTTATTTAACTAATTTAACTAATGCATTAAAAAAGATTAAAATTATTATTGTTATATAAAAAGGAAAATAATATTTTTATTTTATTTTTTGGCTCGACAAGATTTATTTCTTGCTCCTACGTATCTCCATGTGTAATGAAGAATCAGAGTCACGTAGTTCTTTGGTAGAAAATATTTGTGTGTTTATTTTTTAATTAAATTTTATTTTTGTTAAATATAGAATTCTTGAACTGTCTCAACTCATTCACCCTAAAAATATAAAATTGACTGAGGTGTACACCAAAGTCAACTCAATAAAATTTTAATTATAATTATTGCTATAGATATTATTATCTTAAAAGATTTTTGGTTGGACATTTTGTTTTTTGGAGAAAATTTTAAAGATATCAAGTTGTCACAACTTGTATTTTAAATTCAAAGGTTAAAAAGATGTCACATCTAATTAATCATTTCTCCAATAAAATTTGATACAATATTTCAAATGTTTTTATTGAATATTCTAATACTATATTTTGCTACTTAATCATATTTTGAATTTAAATAAAGACTTAAATATGACAAATAATCTTTTTTAAAACGACAGATATTACTAATGAAAAAATAAAATAAAAATAAAATAAAAATAAATAAAAAGAAAGTGAGTTCAATATACTCACTATTATTCACCCTAAAAATATAACATTAACTGAGGTGTACACCAAAGTCAACTCAATAAAATTTTAATTATAATTATTGTTATAGATATTATTATCTTAAAAGATTTTTGGTTGGACATTTTGTTTTTTGGAGAAAAAATTTAAAGATATCAAGTTGTCACAACTTGTATTTTAAATTCAAAGATTAAAAAGATGTCACATCTAATCAACCATTTCTCTAATAAAATTTGATACAATATTTCAGATGTTTATATTGAATATTCTAACACTATATTTTGATACTTAATCATATTTTGAATTTAAATAAAGACTTAAATATGAAAAATAATCTTTTTTAAAACAACAAATATTACTAATGAAAAAATAAAATAAAAATAAAATAAAAATAAATAAAAAGAAAATGAGTTCAATATACTCACTATTCTTCGTTCAATAAGTGGTAACTTGCTAGTCTCTTCCTTTGAGTTCCCTCTACTCTTCAGAGAGTGTAGAAGAAGTCCAAAGTGGAGATGTGTGTGTAGGAAGGCCAAGGGCCGCTATTTATAAACTTTCAGGAGTGACCGGAACGACCTGTTCTGAATCTAGAACGGTCGTTCTGGGGTTGCATCTTTACTCACAACGGCCATTTCTGGAACGGCCCGTTCTAGGCTACAATTTATAAGTATTTCGATAGTTTGGGAATGGCCCGTTC